AGAACACTTGCAGTTTTGTTGGGTAGTTAAGACTACCTCTTTGTTTGGTTTTCATTGATTTAAATAAGCAAAGTACAAGGAAGCAAATTGTGGTGGCTCAACCACGATCTTACAAACTGGAAAATGGGGAAAGTGGAAACTTGGTCCTAAAGTTTAGGAAACGCAGTTCCTGTAATTTGCAATCACTAAAATGAAATAACTAAAACATGACTTAATCAATAACCTGCAATTTGGTTTTCCCGCTCCTTGACCTACTCCTCTTGACCAGCTCAGCATCATTGTCAATCACCACACTTACGGTCTCATCATCAAAATTTCCAACTAAGCCACAGTAATCCATAACTTTCCCCACTTCCTTAATTGCACTCCATCCTTTAGCAACATAATACATCGCCTTCTTGTTCCTGCTGTGTATTCCTCTCTAACAAAACCATAAACGTCAAATCACAGTACGTCATTTTCAATAGAAATCCACAAAAGAAAAATGTCATACATGCTGATTGAATCCATGAAGATACTCTAATTCCGGTACGGCAGCAGAAACTTGCCGGAGAATCAGGCGACGAAGCATCTTGATTTAGCCGGAGAGAAAAACCGGTGAAGTAGGAGATGAATTAATGATACACGACAAACAAAATGGCTTAGTCATAAATATGATTTGGCTTACATTCGATCCCTCAAAAGCCCATAGGCCCAAATAGTCTTATCTCCGGTCGTATTATCGTCACTTCTTCGTTCACCGCCGTCAAACCAAACACCGCACAACTTTCGTCGTGTGAGATTCTGCTCCGTCGAAGCTGAGATTCTCTATATCACATTCCTCCTCTCTTCCTTCTGATGTTTACGAAGAGAGCTTTGTTTCCCAAAGCTATCATGCTTACTCTTTACCCAGTAAAAGTTGTTCGGTCATTAGAATTCCCAAATTTCTGAGGAATAATCTCTCTACAGCAGTTTTGATTCAAAGTAACTCGGAAATTGGAGGAGAGGACGACAAACACATGTCTTTAACTTGACATCCCCGGCACAGATCCAATTTAAAAAGATGATTAAGGAGAAGAAAGTTTTTGGATTATGTTTCTCAGTCGCCAAATGATAGACGAAGAAAATGAACTGAAGAAACAATTAAAACGCGGTTTACCTTTTTTTCTCGTCATTGAAACGTAACCGGCAGGTGAAGAAGGAAATCAATAAAGCAAAAAACCGGCTGAACACGTGGCAAGTAAACCAAGAATTTACTGACTGGTATTAATCGAAATGTTCTGATTGGGTGGGCGTATTTAATGACGTGTCAGCTCAGGAAGGCTTTAAAATACCAAAGTGTCATCATATGGAGAGATTTAGGGGTTTTTATTGTATTGATTGTAGGTATTAGAGCATCCGCATTGGTAAACTTTGCAAGGGTTCTTTAACAATAAAAGAAAAATGATTTTTGGAAAAAGAAAAATGATTTTTGTAAAAAAAATAAATAATAATAATAATTGATGAATCATGTGATGCCACTTGTCGAACTCTTCTTCTGAGTCGATTTCAAAACAGCTTTCGGGAGAACCTGCTCACCATAAATTTTGGCCATGTTATTTTCTTTTTATTTATTTTTTTTTCTTTTTTCTTATGAACCTGTGCCGAGGCTTACCAATGCAAATGCTCTTAGTGATGTAGAATTTTTAATGCTATATATTATGTCATTAAATATTATATATCTAGCATTAAAATAGGAAAATCTAGATATAGAAAAAAACTACATAACTGGAAGCTCTATGACACTCTCCAGCCTTCGACACGTCAGTCAGCAACCCAAGACATTGCCACGTCACTTTTTTTTTCCATCTAATACCAAAACAACGTCGTTTTGCGTCTCTCATATTTTTTTCTTCGCCCAACACCAAAACGACGTCGCTTTGCTATTAGATTTAAAAAGCGTTAATTTTTTTTTTCCTGAGTCTCAATCGTTCTTCACCCCTTTCATCTTCCTTCGTCTCTCCAGCTGCGGTCCAATATTTCTCTCCAGCGTATACACGTAATAGACCAAAGAGGAATCTCATGTTAAATATTGTGTTTAATCGTGCTATTTAGTGTTGATTTGTGTTAATCCGGTGTTTTAGCTCTGTTTCGTCGTTCTGGGTTTGGTTACTGCGAGTTGGTGTAACACCAGAGCTGATTATGTGTTGTTGTTCATTATTAGTAATTATTGGAAAATTGTTAATTGCATTGTCAGAATAATTGCATAATTGGCCTGTAGACGGGATGACCGTCTCACTAAGTATTTGTTAAATACTTATACATTTCTTTTCATTATGTGATGCAGGTAAAAGAATTATGTGATCGCGGAATCAAAGCCGAAGAAGATGATGATATGATTGTTTTGAGTTGTTTAAGTTATTAGTTGAACCTGTTATTTAGGTTGCTAGTATTATTTATTTAAATTTAATTTGTTGAATTGAATTGAATTAATTATTTATTGAGTGACTTCCGCATTGCTGAGTTTCGAGAATTGTCATTTTAATAATTAAAAAAAAACTTGGTTGTTTCATTTTGTTAGAATTTGTTGACCTTAAATTATGTGTTTAATTGATTATGTGTGTTGGTGAGTTAATAGTCTTAGTATCATCCTCTTCGGGCTTCAAGATATTCCGCGGTGAGTTGTGTTTGTGTTTTTAGTGCTAATCTGCTTTTTTTCAGAAGTGCAGCGAGATGGATCCAGGTAGAGGTCGTGGTGCTAGAGGCCGTGGTAGAGCCGATGCCTGTGGGGGCAGGGAAGTTGCCCGTGGCGGCAGAGCTGGAGGCTGAGCAGGCTGGTGTCGGGGTCGTGGACTACCGGCGGATTCATGAGAGAGTGCAACACCGAGTGTGGCGACTGCATCAATGACTCAGTTTGTTTCGTTGGCGAGTGAGGCCAATTTTTGGTGCGTGTGATAGTGTGGGGGCTGGTGCCGGTGGTGGTGCGGGAGTTGGGGCGGCCCCATGTGTGGGTGCTGTTTCGGCTCAGGGTCGTGATGACATAGTTGTCAGGTTACTGACGCAGTTTTGGCACGTTTTCCGCCAGCGGTTCCACATCAGGCTCCGAATATACCTCTGGTGGCCAGGTTGCAGCAGGGAGCTGCGTTACCATAGCTGCCAAGGGCTTCATATTTTGGTGTTCCGCCATATCTCGAGATGATGCGGCACATGCAGAGGATAGCTGCACCGTTCTTTGAGGGCGGATTTTGGCCGGGGGAGGCCGACGAGTGGCGTTTGAGACTGGAACGGAATTTTTGGTCTATCAGATGCCCAATGGAGTATCAGATTGTGTTGGCAGTCCACTATCTAAGTGGTGACGCGCATTTGTGGTGGCCGGCGATTGAGGGGGAGGAGAGCAGTGTGGACTTGGGGAAAATTCCTAGCGGTTTTCAACGTTAAGTACTTTCTCACGAGGTGTGAGATCGTCTACAAATGCGGTTTATGGCGTTATCTTAGGGTGAACGTTCGGTGCGCGAGTTCGACGCTGAGTTTAGCAGGCTGGTGGTGCATACTTGCCGGGTATGTTGGATGAGCATGCTCTTTTGCAGAGGTTCTTACAGGGACTTCGGTTGAGCATCATGACACAATGTAAAGGCATGTACGTTTTAAGAGCAGCCTTTGTGGAGTTGGCGTCTTCGATCGAGGAGGATCAGTGCGAGCAGGTTGGTGCGGTAGCTGTGCCGTATGCAATTGCTCTTGCTATCCATCCTAGGAGTCAGCATCAGCAGCCGCAGCAATGCAGAGGATCTGCTTCTGACAAAGGCGGCAAACCTGTGCAGGGCTAGAAGAGGAGATGGGAGGAGGCTTCTGAAGGTAGCCAGTTTCTACATGGTGCTTGTTACAGTTGTGGGAGTACGGAGCACCGTGTGTTGAGTTGTCCCAAGAGGGATGTAGCTCGGGAGGGTAGAGTGTGCTTTCATTGCAGAGAGCCGGGGCATAAAAGGCTGATGTGTCCTAAGTTGCACCAGATAGCGGCAGTTCAACCGATAGGAGCTACACCAACGTCTCAAATTGTGGCGGTGCAGTCAGTGGGTCAGATTGGACCGGCGCCACTGAGTGTACTCTGCGGCAGATGTGGGCCAGACTAGTCAGTCCGGGCAGATCTCAGGTAAATTTTTGGACTCATACTTCGTAAATTCTTAAGGTTGAATTTTTGTTGTTGTTGTTGTTGTTGTTGTTTCTGTTGTATGCTTTGTTCAATTTATCTGTGAAAGAATTGTCGAGGTTCTCAATGCATGTGATTTTGTAGGGACCTTGTTAGTGAGCGGTTTTGAGTCTCACTAGTTGGTTGATTATGGAGCATTAAATTGTTTCATTACTTCGGAGCGGGCCGAGAGTAGTGGCATCAGGAGCAGCGCTGGTGAGTGTTCGGGTATGGTTAAGGTGGCTGGAGGTGGATTCCTGGCTACTTCGGGCCGTACCAGTGATGCGGGTTAGGATTGCTTCAAGATTTTAATTTACAATTTATAAACCAACTAGACGAGCTGCAAGTCCACAGCCGTGTTGTGATATACCTCTATTTTACCTACTTTTTATGCTATTTTACTATGGTTTTCTAATGGTTTTCAAGTGGATTCTTGTGTTAAAAGGTAGTTTTTATGGATTTATACTGCAAAGAGTCATTTTAGGTAAAAAAGTGCATTATGGAGCAAAACAGATGATTTGGACTTCAAACCAGTTCAATGCCATTGCATCAACTTTGGATGGAGCTAAAAAAAGATCTACTCAATAAATTTCATCAAGACCGGTTCCATGCGTGCTCTGATTGAGTTAACTTTCCAACGCAAGTGGAACGGCCTCATTTAGATGAGTAGAAAAAGAGTTATTGCCAAAAGAGTGAAGACTGTCCAAAGCGGCTCTATCGAAGAACCGCGGCCAAGCCGTGCAGAACGGCCGGCCGAGGAACGAATGTTCCGCGATCTGCCAAAATCAATTCCATCCGTCTGAAGTCTCGGCCAAATTTCGTTTCATCCGGCTGACTGAACATCACGACCCGGGAAGCAATGTCCCGCGGTCGGCCACGCCACAAACTACTCAACGCCATGTCGCGCACAACCATGCCGCGCGAGCCGGGAAGCAACGTCTTGCGGCCGCGCGACCTATCTCACGTACCACGGCCGATGGTTCCGTCCAAGCCGGGAAACCACGTCCCGCGTCCGGCCGAGAAAGCATCGACAATTCCATCACCCGTCCGACCACATCGGCCGACCGTGAAATCATCCATTTTTGAAGCCCAATCCGCACAATTCAAGCCCAAAGCCGGCGCCGACTTAGCAATATTAGGTCTAGTCGCTTTTCCATACTTAGTGCATTATAAATACTTCTTTTTAGTCTTGTAACTCAAGAAGGAGAGAGACACAATATACTTTACATCTTTAATAAAGTTTTGCTTGCTTTTACTTTGTTCTTGCTTGTGCTCTTTCTAGAGAGGATTCGAATCTCTGTTCTTATGAATATGAATTCGTGTTCCTTCTCTATGTCTGAGTAGTTTACTTGTTAAGTGATAGGAAGTCAAAGGATAGCATTCATGTATGCTTGATGATCGATCACAATTAGGGTTTTACTTATAATCTTCATCTTTGCTTATACTTAATGCTTGTTGTTAATCTGGCCAATTAGCTCATGATCTTGGGTTGATTTGAGCCTCGAAAGTGCTGTATCATTCGCCTGAACTAGTATTTGGTGGGCAACATCTTTTAGACTGCGAAAGTTGATTTACTTGTAGGTTGTGAACAATTGAACTTAACCGAACTAATGCTTGATTTAATCACCTAGGGACATTGATGTACTTGCATTTTACATAGTTTTAGTACATCTTTTATGCATCTTTTGCATAGTTTTAGCATCCATTTAGCATCATATCTTGTTCCTTTTCTCTTCTTATGCATTCATGTTAGTTTTAGGTTGCATTTGCATACATATGCATGTTTGGTCCTTTGAAATAGGTCTTTTGGAGCATTCTGGAGCATATGGGACATGAGGAGCATGGAGGGACTTGGCGCATGGACGCAGCTCAACTGGATACGCAAAGGAAGAAGGGAGAAGCCATCTTGAAGACCAGCTCGACCATCTACTCGACCAACCGGTCGAGTTCCTCAACTCGACCGGCCAAGCTTCAACTCGATCGAGCTGAGAAGTCAAAGTCAAACCCGAAAAATGTTGCTTCCCCCTTGACTTTCCTTTGACCCTAAACCTAATCCTCTTTGTATTTAAAGGCTAAAAGCCACGAAAAAACCACCAAGCTTTAGATTATTTTGTTTTAGTTTCTTTTAATTATTGTCTTTTACTTTTTAGAGCTCTAATCCCATCTTTGTGTTCTTGAAGCTCTTGCTTCTTGAATCCTAGATCCTGGATAATCTCTTTTGTATTTGCACTTGCTTATTTCAATAAAAGTTGTTTATCTTTCATCTCCTCTTTCTTATGATGTTCTATTTATTGCATTTGCTTGTGTTTACATTCATGTGTAGTGAGTAGTTACCCATTAGGGTTTGAGATGGGATAGATTAGAGGTTTCATATGCTTAATCCTTCTTAGCTTATGGTCTTAATCTAGATTCTCTCTCTTTTGGATAGATCTTAAGGCTACATGACCACTACCCCTGGCTTGTAAGTCCTTAGGCGATTCTCCACATGGAAGTGATGGAAATTCGCTGGAAAAATCCACTAAGAGCTCCAATATCTCTTGCTCTAGAAATAGAGGTCTAAGGGGTTGGATGGATTAGTTTGGGCAATGATCCTATGGCCTCCAAGGTTTGATTCTCACTGGCTAACCCCCTGTTTCTGAGATCATTCCTTGGTTGATAGCCTTCACCTTGGGAAAGGGTTGGCTAGGCATTGAGAAGCCCAATATCAAGAGAAGCCTTGATACAAGGAGTTTTAAGAGCTAGATGATTAAGTGTAGATTCCTGATTGCAAAACCCTGTCTTGAACCCTAATTCTCTTTAGCTTGTTAAAGTCGCTGCCTTTATGCTTTTTTTTCAACTCGACCCTAAACTCGATCGAGCTCGGTACTCTGTTCCCACTCGACTCGAGTCCTTGGTCGAGCTGTTGCTCACTGCTTTATTTACTTTTGCATTGCATTTCTGTTTCATTTAGGTTGTTAGTGTTACTTATCTATTACTGCTTGCTTGACTTCCTGGTTGTTTCATATTCTCATAGAGTGACAATTTCCCATTTTGGATTGATAACCCTTTATGCTATAACAACTATCATGGTTAAAGGGAATTGTTGACTGTGTTTGTGTTTGCATCTTACCACCTCATCATATACCACTGTTGCATTCCACCACATCTCATTTCATATCTTTCACATCCACACACAAATCCTATCATCA